AGCCTCTTTCTTTGTTCACTCGCTCCAATCACTGTCCTTGAGATACGGTCTTGTATTACACAAAATTTATTAGTGAGTTAGACCTTGCAATTTAATTCATCTATAAGCTGTGACACTGAAATCAAATTGCATTTTAAGCTAGGCACATAAAGAACATGGTTCAGTTTTAGAGTATAACTAATCACCACCGTTCCTTCCCTGGTAGCAGAAATTTGCTTTCCATCAGGAAGCCCTATTGGGCATTGCTGGACATTTCTCACATCAGTCAAGTATTCTACCATTCCTATCATATGACGAGAAACACCTATATCTGTAATTTATTGTACAAAATTTCTCTTACCAGATAGTTTTTCAGCAGCTCCTAATTTCACATTTGATGGAAATCTAATCCCCAAGAATCCCTTTGGAAGAGGTAAGACCAAGAAGGGTAAAGGTTGATCTAAGGAGTTTCCATTGTACATACATTGTATAGTTTGTTTTCTTGTACCTTGTATATAGTAGATACTTGTATAGGTGTATTTTTGCCTTTGTATTTGAGAGGCACTTTATTTCCTTTTAGTAGCTATTGTATATTGTTTCTAGGGTAGGTTACTTGGGCACTTTGACTCCATTTAACCTAATCTAGAAATACACTTTTTTCTTATTTTTTTAGTAGTAGGATTAGGAGTGGCGTTAGCAAGCTAGAGAGTGTGACTAGCAAGCTAGAGAGTGTTACTAGCAATTGGACCTAAGCTAAATTTTACATATTAGACTCATTTTACTCCTAATTTTTCATAGATTTGATTTAGCTAGGTTCCATTCACATTGGATGACGCTAACTAAACCAAATCAACATTTTTCAAAATCGGTTGGAGTAAAATGAAGTCCATGAGCCGCCCACCTTGTCTTGTGTTCACATGGCCGGTTTTCTCTCAAGCTTAGAAGCTTGAAGCACAAGCTTCTCCTTAGCTTGCTTACCAAGCAAGCTAAGTGAGTAGCTTTCTCTCCAAGCCTCTAGACCATGGACGGTTAGCTAGACCTTACCATGGTTCCTAGTGAACCATGGTTAAGGCTAGCTTGCTCTCCAAGCTTCCTACTCCTATATACTTGTTTTCCTTTCATTGTAAAACACTTTTTGAGATATTGAGAATTATTTTCTGAAGATTACTCAGATTTCTCTCTTCTAAAAGTCCCTAAACCTCTTTGGTATTCATCCAATTCTCTTATCCCTTCACTAGAAGAGTGTGGTGAGAATTGAAGAGACTTATCTCTTCATCAAGGAGTGGCGTCTCTTGGGAGAGTTCTCCACCAAACCGTGGTGGCTCTAAGGTCTCCTCCTCCATTGGAGACCTTAGCAAAGCTTGAGAAGAAACAAGGAGCCGAAGATCTAGGGAGGAACTTGAAGAGGATTCAACATTAATCCGGATTCTCCAACAAGTTTCCATCATTTGGTATTAGAGCTAGGTCTCCTTGGTAAAGTCATTCTTGAGCTTTTGTCTTCCAATTTTGTTCGGTCAAAAACATGTGTAAATGTGTCTAAACTGTTCCTACATGTATTTCCTTTTATTGTCTTGTGTTTGTGTGCCTTGAGTGGTTCTTGTGTCACATCCATAAATCTATAGAACACACTCACTTTGTCTTGTTTGTTTTTGGTTCATGTTCTAAATTCTTGTGAATCAGTCTTTGTGTGTGCCTTAGGTATTCTTTGTATGTCTTTTTAAATGTTTTAGGATTGCTTTTATCTTCCATTGGACTCCTATTAATTTCGGACTAAAAAGAAATTCCCAAAAAGAAACAAGAATACAAGCATTTTACATTTCTTAATCTACTAGTTTTGTCTTAGAGTCATGTGTAGTTGTTTTGCTTGTCATTAAATCCTTGTTGTGCCTTTTTATTTTTGAATCTATATGAATTGATATCTGTTCTTGTATGGTGTCATTGCTGGCTGAACATTAAAAAATCTTAGAGTGCTCATAAAATGTTTCCAATGCATGTTATTAGTCCTAACATGTTCTAGAGTCAATTTTTTGTGAACTTCATTTGCTATTAGTTTCTTAGCAATTTGTGGCCAGCAATTCCTTGTGTGTCTTGTGCTTGTTTTAAAAAAAGAAAACAGAGTTAGAAGTGTATTGAAAATGAAAATCAAAGTGTACAAAAGATAAGAACAAACTAGTACCAAAACTAGTAACATTTTGTGGTTGAAAATTTTGACTAGTACACTTACACTTCTTACTCTTCTTACTTCTCTTTTCTCCACCACTTGGAAACCTATTTATTAATTGTTTGGCCTCTATTTTAAGTGCTAATATTCTGTGTTCAAAAGAAAAAGAAAAGAAAGAGACAAAAAGATAAGAAAAAGAAAAGAAAACAAAAGAGAAAAACCTAGAAAAAGAAAAGTGAAAACAAAACATTAATAGTAGCACTTGGCCTTGAATTTTTGTGTAATTTTTCTTGAGGTTTGCTTGCTGTCCAGTGGTTGGAAAAATACTTTCAAATACTCAAAATATTAGCACAAATTTTTGTTTTGTTTTTATAATCCATTCTAGAGCCATTCCTAGGATTATTCTTTTGTGTGCTAGCTTTGAAATAAACCCTTAATTGTTGCTTTGTGTCTTCTTGGCTTTCTTTGTTTTGTCACATCAATTCCTATAAGAGTGTAGCCTATTCTAATTGTGCATTTTCAGTTTTAATTTCTTGGACTCTACTCTCTCTTGTTGATTGTTAAGCCTTGGTGGGATATAACTCTTTTTCAAGCAATTACACTTGGAAGGAAGAGTTAATTGAGGCACATTGGATTAATCTCAAAGGGGTCAACACTTGAAGAAGATTGAGGTACAGATTACTTGAGTGAAACACCGTAGAAAGGCTCACTTGTTTGTTCCTTTTTGCAGCCAAGACTTGTTTTTAATTTTAGGTTAAATTTGGAGACGGATTTTGGAAGGAAATTAGAGACGGATTTGGGAGATTGGATTTGTGAAGATACCTATCTTTCTTCAATTTGGTCACTAAACTTGTTACAAAAGCTGTTCCAAATTCGGTCATCAAGTCCTTTGAAGAGACTCTTCAATTTCTTTTGATTTGTATCATTTTCTTGTTGTAATTCCTTAACCCTACCCTTGGGTTAACTTTTAACTTTCTTTTGTTGAAAACAAACTTACATTTAGGAGTGGTTGTTTGGGAAAACTCTTTGATTAAGTCCCACCACTTCCTAAATAGTTTTAAATAAAGATCCCTAGACATGTTTAGTACTTGTGGAAGGGTCCCCAAAAGCTTCAAGTGTCATTTGTTTTATGCATTAAAAACTTTAAATTCAACGATTGAATCGTTAAAATTTAATATAGAACATAAATTATTAAATGAAATAAGTATAAGTAAAATTATTCATAAAATAAATGGATCCTTCCTCTAATTAAATTCTGAGTATGTTTGGAAATCCATTAAATGAAAATTTACACATTTCTATGAACTAAATTAAAAAAACAAAAAAAATTTGTCTTTTTCATTTAACATAAATTCTTATGTTTTTCATTTAACATGATTTTATTGATTTTCATCGATAAATCAAACATACACATCATTTTACGTTTGACGGTTTGAGTCCCTTGCTTAGGGATTAGGATTGTGTCAATATTTTTTTGTTTTTATATAATTTTTAAATATAATATAAATTATTGATTTATATTTATCTTCTGACTTTTAAGTTGCAAAATAACTTATCAAAATTTTAAAATTAATTAAGTAATTCTAACATTTTATTCTAAATAGATAAAATGAATAATTTACTTAATCTATTTTATATTAATCTTGGATTAGACTTAAACAAGTTTAATGTTGAAGAATTTCTCTCGGTTGTAGCAACGGCCACTATAGTGTTATTAATATAATAAATTTTATAAGTAATACATATATCTGAAAAATAATATAATATTTTGATATAATTTAATAATAATATTGAATTGTTATTTTCTTCTTTTAATACTTTCAATTTTAAAAAAATAAAAATAAATAAAACATCAACACCATAACCAACCCCCAAAAAACAAAGTCGAGACCAGAGCATGACCGGAAGAATAACGGAGAAAAGGAGGAGATTATATGCTTTACCTGGGTCTGGTGTGCGGTTGTCTTCTAAGTCGGATTCGGTGCCTAAACGCAGCAGCAAATCCTATCTGGCTTTGGAATGCAAAGTATCTCCCTCTCAAATTTGTGTTTTCTTCCTATTTTATAGTTGATTTTCGAATATTTTCGTTCTGGGTACAAATCTGAAAAATATATATTTTTTTTAATAGAATCACTGCGGATACGGATGAGATACGTATCTTTCACGTATCAAAACGTATCCGTATCGGATACGGATACGGGATCAATTTTCACGTATCCGTGCTTCAGAGATACCAGAACATTTTTTAAAATATTTTTGGTAAACATGACTTATTTCTTGGTAAAAATTTATGATTTCTTGTATCTTTCCTGGTTAAAAGGGATCAGATTATAACATTCTTTTTTAATTTCATGTCTTTCCCACATGCTTACAAAACTGTCATTTTCTTTATAGTATGTGGATACTGCAGTCATTTCCCAAGTAGCGATATTAAAAATAATTGTTTGAATTGGACTAGGAAGAGTTTGTTTTAAATCATGTTGATCTTACATATGCAATCACTTATTTACATTATATATTACAGAAATATGTCTTTCACCTTTTGCTGTTTAATTTTTTACTTGCTACTTTTTTATGATTTTCTTTTACCAGAATCAGAATGTATTATTCTCTTATAATATTTTAATGTCTGCACAAGTTCTAGGCTTGCTAACATATTCCTTACAGTTCCCTTTACTTATCCTTCATTCTTTCTTGACACAAATTCTTCAAAGACTCTTGATAATCATGAATTGTTTGTCTAAAATAATTCTTTCCCTCTGCCATTTCTACCATCTCAATTTTTTTTCTCTATGTTCTGCAGCTTGCAAAGAAGCTCCATCCTTACACAAACAAAGATGATCCTGAGGCTGAAAAGAAGTTTCAATTGCATATGAGGTGTACTGTTGTTGTTGTTCTTTTTACTGCCTAGAACTCTAATTGAAACTGTTATGTGATGAGTGAACTGTTATGTTCTTTTTGCAGTTTTCTTAGTTTTAACCATACCATTTAATGATTTAGTAATCACTTATTAAATTGGTTAAACTTATCTATATTAAAAAATTAAAAATAATATAATTAACACAATTTAAGATATTCGATACTCTAAATTTAAATTATTGTCATATTAAATAACATTGACAAATATTATGTGAAAACTTCAAATTTAAAATCACAAGTTCATGATAATACAATTTCATGCTTTAAATTTAAAAAGCATTGTCATTATAAAGTATTAAACATCTAAAACAACAATTAAATTAAAGTTTATCAACAATTAAATTAATGTTAATGACATAACTCCATAAGTTCAAAAATCAAAATATAAATAGCATCAACACTCAAAAAATTTATTTTGTACATAGTTTTTTGCTATTATTTTGTATAATAATGTTAATAAAAGTACGGGCCTTTTTTATTCATTCGCGGATGACAGGTGAAAAGTCCAAAGATGGGGTATCTGGTCCAAAGAAGGGAAGTAGGTAAATAAATGCTTTTGATT